GTGGGATTAGAGAAAAAAGAAAAAAAAAACACGCAGCCCTTACTTTCAGACCTAGTCCACATAAGAAATATTTCAAGTCGCTAAAAAATAGTGATTTTTATGAATGTGCGATTTGACGTGGAATGACTTAACAGTTTGATCACTTTTTGTGCTTGCTGTACTTTTTGCAGTGATACAGATGACTACGTTCCTTTCTTGAGTTTTCACTCATTTGAGCCACGGCCATGTCATTTTCGTGAACATTCACTTGTTTCTGACATTGCATAACAGTTATCAACATTAACTAAAATGAGATTGCAAGGTGTTGATGAGCAGGATTGACTAAGATATTGTTGCAGATACAACAAAGCGATTCACATGAACAAAAGCGACTCGGAGTTTCCCCTGCAAGTGAAATGCGACTGATAAACTGCCCAAACGAGTGTAGCTTATAGGAACGACGATCGCAGCGAAGAAGACAGGGCAGATCAGAAGGCCCAGGAGAGGCAGGACACGAAGAAAGAAGGAAGGACAAAGGGAGCACGGAGAGAACATAATGTGGAAGTGGGCAAAGGGACAAAGAAGAGGGCAAAGTGGAAGGTAGGACGAAGAAGGGGGAAGGGATATAGAGGACAAAGTGGATAGTGAGGCGAGGCTGGAGAAGAACGGAAAGGGCAAAGTGGGGCGTGGGACGACGCAGAAGAAGGAGGGATAGCGAGGAGTGGAGGATGGCGTGAGTGGGAGAGGGGGTGTGGAGGTTGGGAAGGGAAAGGGGAGGAAGCGCAGGGTGGGGTGATGGGGGGAACGGGGCAGAGAGGGAAGGAGAAGGGTGGTGTGGGCGGTGGGAAGAGTCAGGGAAGGAGGGCGAGGGCGGCTTCTATGCTGAGGCGGCGTGGAGGAGTAGAGGGGGGATGCGGCAGGGGGAGAGACGTAGGACAGAGTGGCAGCGGGACGGGGCAGAGGCAAAAGGGATAGGGCGAAGTGGCTTGAGGGACAACATATTTAATTTATATTAGTCATCAAAGATGCGGTGACAATTGGTGACTTATCCATTGTTCATTATTTTACAGTTTCGAACCCTAACGCTATAGGTGGAAAATGATCAGGCTTTACAGTTACATGTTAATAAGGGTATTGGATATTTTAACCTTATATTAGTGATCTTAAAATTATTAAATTTTAAGATTAGCATTATCGAATTTGAATATAACGAGAGTAATGCATAATATGTTGTAAGACTATATTAATGACCAATGTTAACAGGCGCGTACGTTATACATTTCATGTCAAAAATGAAGACGATCAACAAACGCGTTTACATTACTGTGTAAAATTACAAGTTCAAGAACAGTTTTCTTTCCAATTACTAGTGTTTATTAAAAGTGAATATCATTTTACACGTATCAGATAATATTCAACCAATGGGTAAGGTGACACACTTGATACAATTGAAGACACAACAATTATTTTTATTGTACGAATTAATAATTTGAAACACAATTAAAATACTTTGTAGGCGTAGCCACGCAACACTGTGGATGCACCATTATTATTTAAAATGTAAAATCATGCTTGATTAACAAAATAAATAATTATATCCGTACGAAGTAAGCGCTACGTTTAATTGATTAAATCAAATCCAAATGAAATAAAAAAAATAATAAAAAACGAGAAGCACTATTCTGTCAGGAGTGGTGTGTAACATACGGTCTTTATGATAGCACGAGTAGGAAAGATGTAAATTTAGTACTATTTATACGAAACAGTCAGTAAAAGAACCACGAGTGATTATACTAGGGAAGGAATTACCTCATAGTTCTGCATCAAGCAGACTTAAAACACAAATGCCTCGACTCTGGTGGAGGAACAGGCACACACGCAACCCGCAACACATAATACCATCCAACATAACTCTGAAACTATACGCCCCAGCCCCTTAAAATCAGAATACGTGTTGTCAAAGGAACATGAGTTCCTTGTTTCTTTACCTAGAAAATAGCACTTCACTGAATATTCTATAATATTTTGTAGTCCGTCTTGTCAGAAGCTTTCGCAGCTGTACAGCAGAATGGAACGACTTTTACTTTTAAAAAATAGAGATTTACAATGCGCGGGTCCAACTGGTTATCAACAATATTATGAAAGACATTAAAATTAATTAATATTTCCCGGCGTTTTTTTAAAAACAATGTTATATTTTTTAAAATTCGTATCAAAACCATCCCTTTGCTGAAATAATCAAAATAATCGTTCTACGGCATTACTAAAGCAATTTTATGTGTTTTTTTTCTACTTTGTTACAACACAGCCAAATAAAATTATTCTTGAGACTCGATATAAAATGATAGAGAAAAAATTATTTTATATGCTAACATCCGAATTAGATTTTAGTACGCTTTGGCTACAACTTTAATTTCCGTAGGAGGAAGTAATTGATATCATCAGGAGTTCATGTCACATATGTATAGTAACAATACTGACTATTTACTAACTTACTGAAAGGAACATGGAAGGAAACATGGAAACATAATGTATTCAGTTTAGGATTTGCTTTGAAAACTTCCAAACAGATCCAATTGTCATCAGAAAAAATAGTCATTATTTGAAAGAGGAAAAGCGTTTAACAATGTCGTCTGAGAAAAAAAAGAATGTAAGCATTCACTCCCGTATTTTGGGAGGAGGTAGTGTGGAATACACAGTGCTTAATATAAATGTAGAGTGAAAAAATCCGTTGACTTGAAAGCGGACGGGCATTACGGAGAGGTCAGAGTGTAACCGCGGCTTCTTACTCCTCCGCGCTACGCTAAGGAGAGCAGATGGCGCCACGCGTGGCGGAATAGAGAACTACCAGCGCAAGTCGGAACTGCAGACTAGAAGTTCTGCACTCGCTCACGTGGCAGCGCTGCATACCTATCCCAACACCCGCCAGGAGATACAAGACTTCTGGAAGATGAAGGCATGCAGGGGCATGACAACGCGAAAAAATAAATTGTGAGAAAATCATGTAAGCAGAAAAGTGGCCATAAAATGCAGACTGTCTTTCTGTTATACTGCTCTCTTAGATGACGTTTTTACGAAAACATTACGTAGCAATAAACATGCAGCATTCATCACACCAGGCTTTTGGAGTTTTAAGAAACTTCCACTTCTACAAGACAACGTACATCACAGAAAATGTGTGTATATAAAATTTGAAGTTCATTTACATTCCAAAAGAAACAAAATGTGGACAGAAACATTTAAGTAGTATATGAAAGTCCCTGAGAAATGTTAGGAAGGCGTTCTTGGCGATTTGGTGATGCAGCGTAGTAAAAATTGGAATCGATCTATTGCAGTGTGATTCTGCAGTGCATTATAATCACCCACGTCTAGACAATGTTTTCTCTTCTATCGGCAGAGTCCAGATCGGAGCCAGCCCGAGCCTAACCCTAACAACTGGAGCATGGACCGCGCGCGATCTTGCCTTTCTCTTCCTTGTCCTATCCTCACCCCTTACTTACACTCGTATGCACTACACTGCCGCACTTGTCGGTAGACCAGTGAGGAGCTCAGAGCTGGTCCCGGTTATTGTGGTGGCTTCGCAAGTCGTGTCGGCCGGTGCCGAATGACATCCTCGGGCGGGAGAAGGCGCCGCCAACGATAAAACGTACACTACACTTACGGGAACAATGACCATATTACACCATGACCGGAACTAACGGGACTAATCGCCTTGCCCGGAATCCAATCAATCAGTGAAGCCTCCTATGGGGCAAAGCTCTGCGAGCGGAGCGTCATGACGAGCGTCGTTTACGGAAATCTGCTGCTCAAGTCAAATGAATACTATATGCCCGACGCAATTGATGCTGCATAGGAATAATAACTCAAATGATGAAAGAATAATTATTTTCATATTAAAAAATCTATAATTAGAACTTTAAGGGGTAGCATTGATATATTGCAGTTAATTTATTGCAAAGGGCTGCAAGCCATCATGAGAACCACAAGAATCAAAAATGGCACCGCTCCAAAATTCGTCACTTTTAGTTCAGAAACGGAATATGTTTAAAAATAGCTTATTCTTCATTTCTAATAGGTCACAAGTCAACCAGTACATATTAGAGTGCAATTCAGTCGTTGTTGTCGAAATAAACGGCTGCACTCAGTTTCAAATCGAGCACATGCAAAATTACTATTTGTTAGAGGTGTTCCTTTTCGTGTGAACTTACGATATAATGTTCTGTAAAAATATCTGTCAATGCTATTTATTATTTATGTTTTTATAAGACTTATTATTCCCGAACGATTTTTAAACGCCTTAAATGTTTTTAGTGCCCGCAAACCTCCCTTGAAGATAGTTTCTTTCGTCTCTCATTAGGTGCCGTCGGACCAGGAGCATGCTGTTAGTTTAAATTATTACGAAAAAATGTGTTATTAAAACATGATCACAGCCCAATTGTTACATTCTAATAATTCTGGGTGCTATCAAACTATTGTCAAGAGGGCATTACCAGTGTTTTAATAGCACAAAGTTTTCGTAATAGTTATGATTTTGTGTGTTCATTAAGCAATTTGACAGTATACGAATATTCTCTCCAATGGCGCTTAATAAGTGGCGAAATGCCTACTAGAAATTGCATAAACGCCTTATTTAGAAAAACTGTTCAAGGTAAAGGCAGCGGTAGTTGGCGAGTCATCAGCTGTTGGCGAGTCATCAGCTGTTGGTGAGTCATCAGCTGTTGGCCAGTCATCAGCTGTTGGCCAGTCATCAGCTGTTGACACCTCGTCAGCTGTTGACACCTCGTCAGCTGTTGACACCTCATCAGCTGTTGACACCTCATCAGCTGTTGACACCTCATCAGCTGTTGACACCTCATCAGCTGTTGACACCTCATCAGCTGTTGACATTCAACTCCAAATGATTGGCGGACTAGTACGACAGTTCCTGGTGGCTGCATCTGATATAGTGGTAATAGCATGGTAGTTAGTGCCATTGAGGGAGGCAGCGAGCGGCGCCGTGCGCGGGCGCGGGCGCTACTCACAGGTGGGCGGCTGCGGGTCGGGGGCGACGCGCACCGTCGCCTTGGCCTCGGCGCAGCGCAGCGGCTCCGGCCTGGGGCGGTCGGCGCGGGGCCGCTCGGCGCGCGGCCGCTCGGCGCGACACACGTAGTCGCCCGCGTCCTCGGGCCGCGCAGACGCGATGTCCAGCCGCCCCCTGCAACAGCGCGCACCTCACAGCCCCTGCGCGCGCACCAGCCTCGGGGCGCACTGCCGGGGAGGAGAGCTCCGCCTGCCATCGCCTTGCGGATGTGGCAAACAATTCAACCTTTGCAATTTGTAAACGCTTTCTGGAAATGCCCGACTTCTTCTACGACAGGATTACTCAAAAACAAGGTGAAGTCACATTTTGATATCTGTGTTTGTAGAGAGAAGTTTCGCAGCATTCGCTGCAACTGTGAATGTTGAACAAGTTTTACAAAAAAATGGACATGGCCCTTTGTGACCCCGCTGAAAGAAAATTCGAAAGGGGTTGAGGATGGGATTGCACATAGAAGTATTGCCGGTGGACATACTTTTTTACTCTTTTAACAGAATTTTCTGCAAGATGATGTATATTGCGAACAGCTCTTCTATCTGTTGCCTTTCGTTTCAAACGCGATTAGGTCATTTATCAAACCGTTATGATATACAGGGCGCTGGCTGTCGAAGAGCGGGTATAAGCAACGGGCTCTGCCCATCAAGCGGATGAGGAAGTGGACGCGCAGCGCTTATTGCAGCGATGAATAAAAGAAGCATCATCGCGCACGCGTGGGCGCATGCGCGAGGGCGAGGCGAGGCGAGACGGGCGCGCCCCCTGCACTGCGGTGCCCAGCCTCCGCCCTCGCCCTCACACAGCAAAAATGATCTCACTCTCAGCACACCCAACGCACGTTAAAAATCTGATGGCTTGGTAATTAAATTCTCCGCATTAATACATTCTGAAACATTGTCAGGTAAAAGACTGTCTTATTTTTTTGTTATATTAATTAGCATAGAACTTACTTATTTTTCATTATTTCTCTTTACTAATAACTCAGAATTCAGAATAAAATGAATGTACGAAGGAAGAGACAATTTAAACATTTTATGCGATAATCGCCGTCGATATTAATGCTAAGGGTCTCTTCGAGGTAATTTAGGCCCGTAAGTGGCGATTGAATGCGTAGTTGTAAGCCTTAGCGCAGATGAGCTCAATGACGATGGAATGGGCCTCAGAGGAGAGGTGCGCGCTTTGTTCACCGTAAACGCCACGTGGGTTGGCTGGCGAGTGAACCACTCGCGACGGAAGACGTGTGCGTTAGCCATTCGCTGCTAATAACACACCCCTCAACGACGGGGTTTACATGTTTTTATTTAATCGTTATCTCACGACTGGTAGAAGAGGACATTTCAAATAGAGGGCATTGGAAATAATTTCTTGCTTGTTGGTTTTAAGCGCCGGGGCAGGAAAAACACCCCTTCTGTGTGCGAAGCGCTGCTCTTAGAGAAAGTGTCCGAGTGGAGGTGAGAGTGCGCGGGAGAGCGCAGAGGACTGCCTGGGGGAAGGGGCGGGGTCGGGGGCGGGGCCGCTGTGCTGAGGGGTGGAGAAGTTCCGAGGGCGGTGTGCGGGGACTTGCGGCAGGGAGGTGGGGATGTTGGGCTGGTGGGGTGCGTGGGTGAGGCAGTCTGGTGATGTCAGTGGAGGGGGCTGGGAAGCGGGCTGTGGTGGTGGGCGGTGGGCGGGGGCGGCCTTTCCGTTCCGGTGCCAGTAAATCAGCGACGCGGGGCTCAGGTGGCCCGGCCGTAAAATTTAATCGGTCGGCGCAGCGGCCCGGGCACCCCGAGCACGCACTTCCGCGAACGGACGCGGCCACTGCGGCTGCTACGACACGCACAGATTTCCTGAAACAACGCCAACGCACAGTTGGTCCTCTGGGCAGGGACTGTCCAAACGAGCCATCTACTATGCACACAGGATGCCTCAGAAAGAAATTTACAATCTTCTACGGCCAAGAAACAGGGATCCCGAAAATATAATTATCCACCAATGAAAAAACAGTGGAAATTGCCTATAGCGGAGTTCTAGCGCATTTATACATTGGGTTTTTGCCCCTGATGTTTACCCTACATAGGGACAATGATTGGCAAGGACCGAAACGCTGGGACTAATTTGCCACGTTAATAAACGCCATTTAAACTCATTAAAAGAAATTTCCCAGTACATGCTCATATTCACCCGTTGTATTGCACTTAATATCTTGCCACGCTACAGCACCAAAAAGGATAGAGTTCAAAGGAAAGCAATTTCGTGTTTTTGTTGCCCTTTTAAATTTTTCGAGTCAAAATCAATTTTATTTGCGACTGTTCCACGAGAAATTGCATGGATATTTATTAACACAAAATGATTAGCACCAAAACGGTGCTTTGTCTCATACAACTAATAAAGTCCATCTCAGACGTATCCGATAACTTCAACAACCAACCTAATCTATATAACGGTATATGTACTAGTCAGAATAGCACAAGGAAAAATCTGTATAATATGTTTTGTATCTGCATAATAAGTATGAATTCACAAACATTGCTTTCACGCTGTTCTGTTAAGACTGTCGAGAGGGCGGGAAGGCGGGAAAATGCGCGGGCCGCCGCCTGGGGAGACGCGGGCGGGGCGGGGACGGGGCGGTGAGGGCGAAGCGGAGACGGGGGCGGGGGCGGGAGCGAGGTTGGTGGGGCAAGGGGCGGGCACCGCCGCAGCTGCTCCGCGCAGCGCTTCTCGCGCCACAAGCGCACTGACCAGTCGCAATTGCTTCACGAGCAGCCGTTATCTCAAATGTGCATGACAGTGCGAAGTATCGCCCGATTATGGAGTCGTTTACGCATCAATAAAGGGCATTGGAGGGGGGATTACTCATGTTAAACATTAGGGTAAATTAATTTTCAACGAGATTAATGCGTTTTTTCAATGTAATAAACATAGTAATTTTTTCAATTCAATGTTTCAATGCCAATTTCTGTTCAACGCCTGTCCCAAATTCTTTTTCGGTTGTAACTTATTTCTGGAAGAGACACGGATCAACAGAATTACATAAAACTCATAAATAAGCAAAGTACCTTCTTGTTGTTTTGAGAGGAAATCTTCTACTTGAAATTTTAAAAAAATATCGCAAGTCTCATTTTAACGCCAGGAGTGTATGGGGTTTGGTCCAATGGAAAAAAATTGTAATAATAACATATGTACACACTTTGCTCTAAAGCGTTCCACGATACTGTTTAGAAATTTACTACCGCAGTTCAATAACTAAATGCACGCATAAAGGAGATGATCCGACCTTATGATGCCCCCACTACAATGATTATAATATTCAAAGATCCTTGCCTGCTTTAATCGTAACACACGAGCAAAATCGTCAACTTCCCGTTTCAAAATTAATTTCCAGTCAATCAAACACTTTTCTACCCTATCACAAATCCCGCGTCTTCAAAATTATAATCTCATTAAGAACACCCTTCTACAAAATGCGTCTCCTTACCGAACAAGCAGAAACCATCCCATTGACCCATAAATTGAAAACGAACAGTTGTAGCAGTGTTGGGGCGAATGAAATTGGCGCGCGCTTCTGGGGCCCACCGAAGGAGGGGCCAACCCTCCGAGGCAGTCACCGTGACGGTGAGCTTCGGGGTGAGTCAGGGCGTGACGTCGCCTCAGCTGTAAAAGGGGCTGCGAGCGCCAGAGTACGCCGTGGGCTAACTCAGCGCAGAGTTGATAACTGATAACTGAGTTCTAGAACTGCTGCCTGAGTGAGTGAGCGAGTGCCTACGTGAACAGTGTCATGGCTAAGGAGGTTGTAGGACTGTTGGGATGTTGTGCTGGAATTAGGGTTGGAACTAGATATTGTGGCTATACATTGGACATTTTTTTGTTTGTATCTGATGAACTGGCTTAAGGTATACCAATAGTATATTGTTGAAACTAAAACTATTCTTGTTTATACTTGTTTGTGCATTTTATTCTGAATACTTCAAAAAGAGTAGCCCTTTCCTCAACTCAGATATAGAAACCAGTACAGTATAATTTATTTTGTGAAATCGTTAATTCCCACCATAATTAAATCCAAACAACAATAATGGTAGTGCACAGATTGAATTAAACTACCTTTATAAACTGGAATACGAATTGTATTTCTAATAAAAAATATAATCTTTAACCTTATGATGTTTCTATTCCTTGCACATGTACGTTACGGAAACACGTTTGGAAACCATCAATAAGGTCTAATGTTTAGAGTATGCCACTTACAAGATCGGTAGATCACACCAAAGAGGAGTACACAAATCCATATTATAACATTACCTCATACCTATATATAACTTAAAAAATATAAGAAAATGCAGTTAACATGAAAACTACAAACCTGTACGATTATAACAATTTTTAAACCTCCCGATCAGAAAATAAATATTAACAGAACTAAAAATCTAGTTCAAACAGCAAACAATGTTTTAATGCACGAAGATATGAAAGCAAAACACATGTCGTGTTGGTGTAAAAATACCCCGGCGTTAACTTGATTTTAACTGTGACGGAAAAAAACTTGGCATATTTTAAAATGGCGTGTTCCGCATTAAAAATAATTACACCAAAACGTACGTGCTTCTCTCATGACTATTCAAGGAAACTCGACACATTTTTGACATCGGAATAACAAACTCATCCCTAAAATTCTATGCTTCTACATATTTGAGTTAGATTCAGACCACATTCCCATTCGCAAAACCTCCCAAATCCCTCCTCTCATGCTCCAATTCTACAAATAAAAAATATAAAACTGATTGGCCTAAACTTCAATCAGAACTAAATCAATGGCCCACAAAATAAAAATGCCCTTTAAGATTGACCAAACAATCAAATCCTCATTTTATCATTCACATGACAACATAAAAGTCGGAATTGACAACAAATTCTAGGATGAGTTCAAAGTACACCAACCTCGCCCAGAAATTATGAAAATCGTATGCATTATAAATCAAAACACAATATTTAAAAACAAAATTTAAGGTCGCTTTTTAACTGCTTGGACATACAAGTATTGTGACCACTATGATTTTAAACATGGGGGTGACTGTAAGGGGAATATCTGAGGATAACATGAATACACACAACCATTCATGTCCGGGGCGGGCCCCTTCAAGCCCAGG